TGTAGAATTTGATAATTGACTTCCAAGAATAAAACAGCCCGGTAATTTCGTCGCAAGATAGAGGAGATTGTTTCTATTTAAAACGTCCCGTCGGTATTAATTGTATCGCGAATCGGTCATGCTCGATTACTAAAATTGGGTTAGGGGCTGATTGCCCAGTGGAACGTGGCCGCGGTTGACGTCAAAACCGTGCACAAGTTCGCCACCTGTGTCGCCTATATTTCAGTACTCAGCGACACGGACTGGTTTTGCTCATTTGTTGATAACTTTTTTTTTAAGGGTGGACAATTTTGGAGGAATTGTGGACAAACGAATATACTGTTTGTTTTTCATAAAATTTTGCATTTGGGGGTGCTAACTTCACAGTCCTCCAATGGGCCCACGATGATAGAGTACTAATGGTTTAAGGGTCGGCCACGTTTATAGCTAACGCTATATCTTTGAAGCAGCTATAACAAAGGGGATGAATTGAAAGGAAGGTGAGAGGTGTGTCGTTCGATCGGAGGACGCTCGATAGACACCGATAAACAATAGGGGGGACCGTCGTTGACCGGCGGCTGGCACTGCTAAAAATATCGTCCACTTTGACGGTTGCCAAATTTCAACAAATATTCACGCCTGCCTCAAGTTCGAATCGAGACAGCTGCGTGGTTCAGTTGTCGTTTGTCCGCTAATTCGCGTACACGATCCCTTCCCTCGATCTTGTAAAATCGCGAAATCAAGATTTCTTGGAACACCTTGGAAATACGTCGATATTTCGAGAAGTGGAGACACTGTCGAGATAAGTTGCATACGTTTCGTGGCGAGATTTACGGAATATTCTGTCGTTTAAGTGTATGACTGGTGTCGTTGTTGGATCATCGAAGTTTTTAAATTAATTGCAAGTAAGAAACGAGCTTGGAGAATTTTCTGGCGGTGATCTGTGGAGTTTTCTGCGAAACTGTGGTGGTTTGTGGGGATATTTGACGTCAGAAGGACGACAGATGCTGCAGACTGAAAATTTGTTTAGTGTTTTCTGGCGAAAGGATCGAAAAATTCTGAAAGATTCTGAAGATTCTGATCTGCTGTTAATTGAGGATATATTACGTGTCCAGTTGAGGATATATTACGTGCATTCTAGTGAGAGGATCGAGGTGGATCAACAATGCAAAATATTATGAAGTGGGGATCGAGAAGATTTAATTTGCTGTTAATTAGGGGAAAATCTATGGATCGAAGAAATGATAGATACCCCAATTGAGGATTTATTACATACATTCTAGTCAAAGGATCGAGACGGATCAACGATGTACAAGATTCTGGATCGAGAAGATTTAATCTGCTGTTAATTAGGAGAACATTGCATAAGGTCGAAGTAAATAAAGATTGCATCGGAAGGATCGAAGTGGATCAAGACGTGCAAGATTATGTACCAGTTTTCTGGGACGAGAATAAATAGGTCGAGTGTGTTGGATGATTTCAACGGAAGCTATTGATCCATCGAACTGTCTCTCTGTAATTGGGAGGAGTTACAAAAATTATGGTTCATTTTAAAAATGAATAAAGTGAACCGTATTAGATGGGCCAGGTTAAGAATAATAATTTTTATTATAACTGAACCTGAGATGGAATAAATAATAAATTGTTATTGTGGATCGATTCAGTGGAATATAAAAACATAATCAGTGTCTTGGGATCCAAGAAGATTTATTTATTTATTTACGGGATAAATACACATTTGGGCAAAGTCATCACAGCAAGAGAAGGAAGTACATCAAAATTTGAAGTTGTGGGCCGAAGTAGCGCAGACGTTACGTGACTCGAGGATCGATCGATCGATCGATCGATCGACACACTCCTGGATCAACGAGGCAAATGGTGGCGTGGTGCGATCCGTCGAATTCTATCGTGACAAGCGAGTTCTGGCAATGGAACAGATGGGAACAATAGAGCAAGACGGGTGATTCGCAGTAAGCAGACCCGCCAAAAATAATCGCGTGTCCCGTTGTGTGCCAGCGGGCAAAGGTGTGCGTCTGGCGAATTTGAATACAATGACGCTGGTAATTAGTCAATCCTCAACGATCCGTTTGATGATCATGCGTTAGGTTTCGTCCAACGACGAATCACGATCGTGGCAAGATTTGTGCTGGACGGAACGATTTTGGACCGAAATTTTCGGTGGATCTCCGTACAATTTAACGACAGTCTGAGAGTATCATTCGACTGTCAATGACAAACTAGTAACAGTCCACAATCGAATAGTCGGATCGAATTTACAAGAGGAAGAAGATGCACGATCTATTGGTGGATCGTGAAGCTTTTCCGTGCACCAGGAATGTCTTGTCCTCGGTGACTTAATCGCGGAAACGATCGAGGGATCACGGTGATCATTTTTAATCGATTCGACCAGAGAGCTATCGGAGGATCCTCGATCCAGCTTTCATGCCGGCTTTCGTCCTGAACAGATCCTATTTCGTCTGTAACGATAATTATCTTGTAAGTCAGCCAGCCATGGATCGATTCTGTGAGCTTTTTTTTTTTTCTCGAATAATATTATTCCGTTGTAAACAGAAAAATTGAACTTATCACTTACTTGATATCACAACGATTCACATCGCAATAATATGGAAACATTTCTGGAAAATATTATTGACTTATTTTACTATCTTAATCACCAATACATGTATTAATTACTCGTTTGCGTTTTGAGTTTGAAGAGATCTTACATCGCCCATCCAATTCCAGCATTCAGACACGCCATATTTAGCTATTCGAACAAAATAATACTTGGAATTAACCCATAGGTTGCCAGACTTATTTTTTTTGAACGTAATTGTCACCTTCAAAATATCACCTTTTGTTCGGTCTGCTAAGACGGAACAGGGCCTTGACGACAAAGTAACTCCGACGTGTGAAGTGATCAAAAATACCATAAGACATAGTTATGTAATTCTCATATATTTCGACGATATTCGGTACAACGAAAAGAAACAGAAACAAGATGAGTTGATCGAGGAATATCGAACTGACGAACGAATTGATTTCTGCGCGTTCGCGGGATCCATTTGTCACCTTGGATCGCTCTAATCAGAGTCATCGGACCTCGCGAGCATGTAATCTTATTTTCTCCACATCGCCTACGACGTGAATATTTGCCCGGCCAAGGTTTAACACGCGATTCCAGCTTCGAAAACTGTCACTCCGTGTCTCCGCGATGGTTCGACATCTTCTCGCGGGTTTGCGATCGAGATCGGTAACACGATATATCGGACACCATGAGACCATCGATACTGTCTGCCACTCAAGTAGTAAGTCATAGACTCACAAATCTTAACGATTTATAATTCATTCAAAATTTGTGATGATCAGAGGGAAGAGTGGTAAAACTGTAAGGATTCGAGTATTCGAATATTCGTAACAGCCCTAGTACACAACCTTCTACCAATAATTTTCCAACATACTACGCTTTAACTTTCTTAACTTACAACAAATACTCCTTTTTCGGAAAGACGAAAAACTTCAGTTTTGCAGATTATGATAGCTACGTTTGTTATTAGCGACAACAATCCTCCACCTATTGATACCATTAGCCACTTTGTTATAACATAAAAGTCCCATCGGGGTCGGATTACCACCAGGAAGCCGTAATACCACCTTTGAATCTATTACTTTCGATCGAAGTCGAATATGAACGATCGATTCCTCTGTCACTCGGTTCCATCGAGATCCAGATTTTCGACAACAATTTCGTCACGGTAACGCGTTATCGCACACGGACGCATAACCATGATCGACCGCAACCGTATCATTCGTTATAGATCGTTTATCATCGGGTGAATGTCGATTTTTCACTAAACAACGCGTGAATTAATGCCAATCAAGACGCTGTCGAGTGGTTTTATTTTTAGCCTCATTATATACCCAGGTTCATTTTTATTTAACGACAGAGATATGTTTTTCAAAACGTTTTCCCAGCGCTTTTTTGCATGATGTTTTGATGCTTTACGGAATTGTAAATAACAAACAGAAATTATTCTTGGTACTCCGATCGTCGTGAACAGAACAATGGGCGATACACGCGAGATAAATCAGAGATCCCCCGTTCGATCATGTTCAGCCTGATAGGATACGATCGATTTTCATCTGTGAACGTCATGAAATTGACGTCGGTCATGCGATCGAGCGTCAATCGATCGACAACCGCGATCCAGAATCGAGTCGATTGGACAGCGTGTACTTTGTTAATTTGAAGAGCCGATGTTGTAACTTCGGTGAAAGAAAAAGAAAACAATTATTTCGTGATTTCTGTGTCGGTTCTCGTGATCGAGGGAGATTCTAATGTGATCGCGAGTGAATGACTCAGTTCGACGATCGACGTAATAGATCGAGTGGATCATACATGTTTGGTACGTATGTGTTTTGGATGTCGGTGGAAGAGTCTATTGCATCGTGTCCTCTCGAAACAGAATTAACACCTTGTACATCCGTGTGTCACTCTATAAACACAATGTGACCAATATTTGGAAAGTATTCACGGTCCTCTATTTTCGTACGCGGTGAACTTCAATTATCGTTCTACCTGAGAAACTGGCCAGGAATTCGTGTCGCTGGGCCATTATTCGAAGTCAGAAAATGTTGAAAATCTTGCGAGCCTTTGAAATCCGATTTTAAAGTCAAAAGTAAATTTGAAGTATTCATGATCTTCAAATTGTTGAAAGAAGTTTAAGATCTTGAGGGTCCACGAGGTAATCACAACCTTCAAAGATTGATAGATCTTCCAAGAATTTCAAGACGTTCAAAGTCCGCAAGATCTTCCACAATTTCCAGAACCAAAGTCCACTAACTCCTCGAAATCCTGAAAGCCTTCGAAACTGTACAGACTTCGAACAATCGCCCAAACGATCCAGCGATCGACATTGGTCACAGTTAGAGACGCGACATGTGTACAATGTGTTGAACGCTAGCAGAAAGCGGTATTTTTAACGTGAACAGAATCGATAAAAAGATGCTGATGGGTCTAGATGTATGGTCGCTATACGAAAGACCTGGGTGAGTACGCAAAGGAAGAGGCACGGAAGCTCAAGTACCATGAAAAGTCGAGGCGGAGGTACCACAAGACGAGGGAGGAGGACCTCCGGAAATCCAGGAGAGGACCGCTTTGCAAGAAGCTACTCGCCCTGCTCGCGTTTGCCTGGAAGCACACTGGAGCAAGACTAGGCGAGGACTGGGTCTTCTTGGCCCTTCTTGGCATCATCATGGCGTTGATCAGCTACGCCATGGATCGCGGCATTTCCATGTGCAACAACGGTCAGTTCGATCATTATTCACCCTCGTTTCCCTGTAGCAAAAACAGTCCCAAAAATTGTGGTTTTGGGGAGCAAGATGAAGACTGAAATAGAGTCTTGATTATGTCTTCGGTACTGCTAACATTCGGTCCTTAAAGGTTTCTACAGGGTAAACTGTCACTTTTGGAAGTCGACGTTTAGGTATTCGACACTTGGAAGTCCTCTCGAAGCTGTAACCCTCTATAATCAAGGGTTTAGGAGTGTAATATTAGAGTTGGTTGAAAAGGAAATTTTTGATGTGACGTTTTGGGATCTTATATGGTAAAGCTTGAACTGATCGTTGAAACAGAACCACGAATCGTGATTAGTAGAGATTACTCTGTTATTAGCAGTCCGACCGAAAATTTTTTTATCAGTTATAGCATGGTTTCAAGAGAGCTGTAACGTGATTATATTTTTTCCTACAAAATCCAATTTTTCCCCAAGGCGTCAATTGCTCCAAGATTGGTTCTTTGCCAATTTTCCGCGTCGTTAATTTACACCAGAGCAATATTTCGTTGAAGTTTAACGAGTCGTTAACCGTCTGTCCTCGTTCCACCAGCCAGGATATGGCTTTATCAGGACCTGACGCATCATCCAGCGCTCCAATACGTCGCCTGGGTGTCCCTGCCAGTCTGCCTGATCCTCTTCAGCGCTGGATTCGTTCACATCGTCGCACCCCAGAGCATAGGCTCCGGTATACCGGAAATGAAGACCATCCTCAGAGGCGTCGCTCTGAAGGAGTACCTGACCTTCCGCACCCTGATCGCCAAGGTTAGCCGATCAAAGTTTCACCTGGTTTCACATTGTCCTATTAACGGGTTATGCCTACCTGCGAATTTTGAAAGAATTTAAATAGACAAAACAAGTTCAGCCTCATTCCAGGGTTAATATTCGTACCTAACAATCCAAAACTGATATTAAGTTAATATTTTTAAAACAGTGTAAAGTTCATCACACGGGGTTATTAATGCAATGTTCACCATTTCTACATACAGAGACTTGTCTTAACATAACTCATAAATATCGACTGTACATACTAGAACATCCACAGTCCGATAGTTACCTCGGATAATCGTCATGGCCAGAAATCACTATTGGGTACTAGACGGTTAACACGTTCGCTGTCAATATAAATACAGTAAATCGTCGATCACTGTCCAAAGGCTCCTCGGCACTGAATGTCCAGACGTCATCCCCCCTACAAGGGGAATCTCGAACGTTGACGAATACCTCTGATCAGCAGCGAACGTGTTAATAATTCCATGACCAAGAATAGCGATCAAATGATACACTTTTTCCTTGTTAGAATCACCATTCGACGTAGATGTTCGTCAAGACCTGACCCAGATTTCCCGAAACAGGTGATAGGTCTGACAGCGACCCTAGGCTCAGGTTTGCCCCTGGGCAAAGAGGGTCCGTTCGTGCACATCGCCAGTATAGTGGCCACTCTGCTGTCGAAATTGGTCACCAGCTTCCAAGGGATCTACGAGAACGAGAGCAGAAACTGTGAGATGCTCGCTGCTGCCTGCGCTGTCGGAGTCGCATCCTGTTTCGCCGCCCCTATAGGCGGTGTCCTCTTCAGCATCGAGGTAACCACGGTCTACTTCGCGGTACGTAACTACTGGAGGGGATTCTTCGCTGCTGTATGCGGCGCTACCATGTTCCGATTGCTCGCGATCTGGTTCCAACGGGAGGAGACCATCACAGCGATGTTCGCCACGAATTTCACCATGGACTTTCCATTCGATCCCCAAGAGCTGTTCGTGTTCGCGTTGATCGGCGTCGGTAGCGGACTTGGGGGCGCATTTTACGTCTGGTTGCACAGACAGTATGTGATCTTCATGAGGAAGAACAAGAGCATGAACAGCTTTCTGCAGAAGAAGTGAGTGTTTGGTGTTTGTACTCTGGTCGATGCGCAGGGCAAGCTTCATTCGATGATACAGTAAATCCTCGATGAGTATTCGAAGGATCCTCAGCGCTAAGTGTTCAGACTTCTTCCCTACCAGTGGTGGGGGTCCTCATGAAACCAGTCAGGTGCCCAGGGATGACGTCTGAACATACAGTGCCAAGGAGCCTTCGAGCAGACATCGATGATTTACTGTATGTTCAATAGCTTATCACCAGAAAATATTCCAACAATTTTTTAGTAATTTTCCACGATCGTACCGAATCGTTCCAGTCGTTTTCTCTACCCTGGCATCGTCTCTCTCTTGGTCTCATCTGTCTCGTTCCCCCTTGGATTGGGCCAGTTCATGGCCGGCGATCTGAACACCCACGACCAGGTGTACGGGCTTTTCACCAATTTCACCTGGACGAAAGATGAGTTGGGCGTCGAGGAGATGAACATGGTCAAGCACTGGTCAACAGCGTACACGGATGTGTTCGCTGGACTCCTCGGTTTCGTCGCGTTCACGGTAAGATCTCGATCGATCGGTCACGATCCACGGCGATCCGCAGGATCGACCGAGTGACGCGAAAGGACTCCTCAGACGACGGATTTGATTTCAGTTCGTCTTTTCCATTATAAGCTCGACGGTCCCCGTGCCATCGGGAATCTTCATACCGGTCTTCAAAATCGGCGCCGCTTTGGGCAGAGCGGTTGGCGAGGCTATGGCCTTGTGGTTCCCTAACGGTGTCCGTTATGGCGGCGTCATCACTCCTATCGTGCCAGGTAACAGTCGATTGATTTTCATTTAGGATGACTAAAACGCTGGATCCATTCGTGTCGCGATTGTTCGTTACCGAGAGAAGCACTTTTTAGTGGATACGCAGCTTAAGGCGGGAATTGTATGTATTTGGAAATGTTATTCGTGGATACGCAGCGTAAGAAATCACTGTATGGATCTACTTGCAGATTTTACTTTGAGGCATTATCTTCGACTGGATACACGGTGTAAAGGGTAACGCTGCGGATTCACTTGAAAATTTTCCTTCGGAGATTTATAGTCACTGTAGATACACGGCGTAAGAAATGACGTTTGAAGGTACACTACCGCTCAGAAGTGTTAGTACCCTCCGCTTCTTAGATAAACGATCACTTCTAAGTAAGCTCACTTATTTCATTACGTATATTAGATACCAAGGTGAAGATCCTTAGGTGTGACGTGGAATGAAACTTGTAGTTATGGCAGTAGTCGTAGAGTTATCGGAAGAAAATTTTGAAGAGCAACATTTTTGAAGGACTCTGGAGTACTAGGTGTTTATGCTGCGTATCGAAACCCAAAAAAAGAGTTAATTGATAAATGTAATTTAATTGGTAAAATTTTTATTGGGCGTCGGAATAGACTATTTATTTTTTTTTAATATTTATCTTTAAATTGGACTACGTGAGGATATTGTTTATGGGATTTTGCTTCAGGGGGATACGCAACCGTCGGGGCAGCAGCGTTTTCCGGCGCTGTGACCCACACGATCTCCGTCAGCGTTATTGTGTTCGAGATGACCGGCCAGATCACCCATATCGTTCCGATCATGATCGCCGTGCTGATCAGCAACGCGATCGCCGCCCTCCTGCAGCCTAGTATTTACGACAGCATCATCCTGATCAAGAAGCTGCCGTACTTGCCCGATCTGTTGCCCTCCAGTTCTGGTGAGAATCATCAGATAACGATATCAGCATTGTGGTCTCATTGTTCGAGGACTTGTGGATCTTGAGAACCCCTTGAAAATCCTAAAATCCCTCGATGCACGGTCTTCATACGCTTATCGAGGATTTACTGTATTATTGTTAGAATGAATGCTCTACTAATCTGGTTACTCGAGTAATGATAGATCATGAGTATCTGTTATCATCTATTCGACTGAATAAATAATAACTTGTCGCCTGCACTATTCTCTGTCGCTTCAAACGTTCATCTTTTTATATAATCACTTTAGAGGTTCCATAATACTGATAACACAAGATCCACTTAACGCCCTGTTAAACTCCATGCTACAACTGCCACAATTACAATTCAGAACCTAAATAATTCGTTCCTTCTGCTAACAAGCTTCCCAACGGAAGATCTATAACGAGGTAAATCATCAGTTTACGACACCTCAATTAACATTGAAATGGAACTCGTGAAGTATAGTGCTAATTACTATCTGAAAATGCCTAGGTATGTACAACGTGTACGTCGAGGACTTCATGGTCCGTGACGTCCGGTACATTTGGCACGGGATCACCTATCAGAAGCTGAAGGACATACTGAAGGAGAACCGAAAGCTCCGTGGCTTTCCCCTCGTGGACAATCCCGACTCGATGATCCTACTCGGGTCCATCCAGAGACTAGAGCTGATCAAGCTGATCGAGAAGCACATAGGACGCGAAAGGAGGCTTCAGGTAACTACTAGAATCTTCGTTTCAATCGTCACTGAACCCAATTGGGTTGGGACCTCCGAATAGACCCCCAAATGGATAGACACTAGATCATTCGATAACCGTATGTGGGTGTGTGTCTATTCAGGTCGCTCAGAAATGGCAGAAGGAAGCTGAAGAGAGGGCCAGAGAGGAAATGGAACGTCAGCTGAGGGACCAGGAGAGAACCAGAAGACCGTCCAGGTTCGAGGTGATCCCAGCCCCAGACATACTCAAGATGCAACGACAGAGTGTGAACGATCTAACGATGTCGCCAAACAATGGCACAGGTCCCGATCATGTGAGTCTCTTTTGACGTCATTCCCAGCGAATCGCGTATATTTGCTCGATTAACTGGACGTCCACACGTCGACCATCTCTTTTGCCCTGCTTCACACGGTCACATTATGTTCCAGCACACCTATCACTCGCCAGTATTCGGGTCACAACCGAAGAAATCGATCCTGAAGAAGACAAACTCCTTCACGCTGAAAGGGTTCAGCCCATTGGTCAGTCCAGCTGCTACGCCGTACACCACGGTCACCGGGGCGGAGAGCAGGTAATAGGGATTTTTAAGAGATATATTAAGGAAATTCACGAAAATGTTAAGGAATTTTAGGGAACTTTTGGTGGTCTGATAATAGAAGGTGATAGGGACAGATTACATTACACTTATTACATTCATTTCGTATTCGACAAGTGTCCTGATGCATATGACCTAAATTCGTAAAATTACACTTAAGACCTAAAGTCCTCCTTTATCAAGAAATAGACTGTAGAGTATGGATGATAGATCGTAAATTGTCGATGATAGACTGTAGATTGTAGATGATACATTGTAAATCCAAGCATCGGTAAACAAAAGATAGTTTCCCAGAACTCGAATCGACGCTTTAAATTTCAGGATCCGTCTGGCGTTCGAGGCGATCTTCCGCAAGTCCGCCACTCTGCAGGACGTCGATCCGGATCCAGAATTGGGATCAGGAGGCGGAGCCAGGCGCGACAGTCAGGATCGAATGAACGTGACACCGCACACGCCCATGTTGGTGCCCAGTCCAGCCACCTCGAAGAAAGTTCAATTGGTAAATACCGACTTGTTCAGCCAGAAATTCTTGTACTGTATTCGATTGATTATAATCGACTTCTTGACGTCACCAGCCACGTGAGAGGGTGATTGACATGTCAGCCGAGGATCAGAAGCGATGGGAGGAGAGCGAAATGTCGCTGGAAGTAGACTTCTCCAGGTGTCACATCGACCCTGCACCCTTTCAGCTGGTCGAGAGGACGTCACTGTTGAAGGTGCACAGTCTGTTCAGCATGGTGGGGGTGAATCATGCCTATGTGACTGCTATCGGGCGGCTGGTTGGGGTTGTGGGCCTGAAAGAGGTTCGTTGAACTCGAAACTATCGACACTTAATCCGTGGAAGTACTGTCTCTGCGTGTTTCCTGGAATCTTAATGCTCCACGGATTAGTGAGCTCCTGTTAAACGCTAATCCGGGGAACTGCATAGTACAAGTTGCATATATTATATACTAAAATCGTTTGTCTCCATTTCTAGCTGAGGAAAGCGATAGAGGACGCGAACGCCGGGATCTTGCCCATGCACCAGGAGTCCCACATCGGTGTGTCCTGCTCGAGCCTCGCAAAAAGCGAGACCGACACAGAGAGCAAAGATGCGAGCACGATGAACTCGATCGCCTCGGTTGAGTGTGAGAAAGTGGAGAAAGTCTGAGATTGCCGGGGAATGGATCGAGAGTGTGTGCGAGCGAGAGAGACGGAGCAAAGATAAGTAGAAGCAATAATGTGATAGTCGCGTCGCTGGCCAGGCAACGCGACCCCGAACGACGGGAGAGTCTTTTAAATTACAAAACTATCCTCCTCCTTCCGCGGCTATTGTAGTCCTTGGATAATCGAGCAAAACAAGTCACTAGGTAGATCGCTTTCGAACGCTCTTCTCGTACTTAAATGAGGGACAGGATACGATATCGTGTTTCAAAGGCTTCCCTCCTGGAACGTACATCGCCTCGTGGCTTGGACAATGTACCATTTGACGCAGATTGCAGTAGACGATTCTCGAGACTCTGAACAACCAAAATTCTATGGTCGATACTGTTTTAGGGTCACGAAATACGAATTTTCTTGAGATAGATGCTTTAACATTGCGGGTAGCTTCGTCAGACGTTTGAGAGTATGTGGACTGTCAGTGTTAACTTTGACACCAGTTTGACTATGCATGCCAATAGGTATGGGCGTTAACTTAAGCAGTCTCAGTAGAAATGTCCGTGTTAGTAATACATTAATTATGTATATACCGTTAGACATGTCTTTGGGGGGTTCCAGATATTGTTATATGACCTGGTAGAATTATGATTTAGGGTTGTATCACCACTGTAGCTACTAGAACCACTACGTGATCCAGAATATATCGGGGTGGTAGCTTCAGTATCAGTACCAAGACAGTAGACACCTGTTCAGAGCTGCTGAATCCAATCCAAGAACATCAGACCGTACTGTCATTCTAGCACCAGCATCTCCCCGATCCTCTAGAAAGCTACCCACAATGTGATCACGCCGGAAGTCAGTCCTAAGACATGTGCAGACAGTATCGATCGGCAAATAGAGACTCGTAGAAGGTGTAGTACTCGATGATCAAAGACAGATCAATCAGGGTGTGGATCCCTCCTGTTTCCTTAGACGAACCCTTCGAACGAGGATCCAGTCTCCCGTGTATCCTCGTGTGACGTAGCATAATAAAGAGAGTTACCAGGTGCGTGTGAGAAACGAAAGTATGTGTGGAACGTGACACGGTGGTCGAGGACTTCTTGGTCGATCCGTGATTATTAAGTGTCCTCGAAAAGGATCATCCTCCTCGTCAACGACTTGAACGCCCCTAAAACGGTCGATCGCCCGGAAGTTCGACTTAGGAGCCAGCTGTGGCGAATATGGACGGTGCTAAACGAACCAGCAGTACAAGGACTGTTCGACAGTGACGTGTGCGTGTTGTTGTTGTGATCGATAATTAATGTAATCACGTTCCAGGAAAACCCGTGTGAACGTCCTTGATGGATGATGATGATTGATCCAGGAGGAACGTGGACCTACGATTCTCCTCGGATGCGTGTGTAACTGTCTGACCATGGTTGTGCAAACCTATTTATTCGAATTGTTGATCCGTTAGTCGCGAATGTCATCGAGTCATCTAGGCATATAATCATTCGCGTCTTCGTGAGGTCTAAAACCGTGTCTGGTCTGTATGCGTGTGGCGCCAACCTTGGGACCGAGCACCGTTTGCTCCAAGATTTAAGACGACCTTGCGAAAACCAATTGTATCGATGATCCTCCCCCCTTCTCATATTCGAGGAAACGAAAGTTTTTAAACATTAATTCTAGGGTGGAGGAGAGGAGCATCGTGTTCTAGGTAAAAGATATTCTAAAATAGCTTAGCGTAATTTAAACGATGTCTTAATTAATCGTTAATCGAACTAGGACCAGAGACGGACCGCGCCGTCCCGCTCGATGGCCGACGGCCGTCCAATTTGTTAATTTTAAGACACACACGCACAAACACACAGTGGTTTCATAGGGCATTTTACATTCCATCTGTGACGAACAGTTTCACGATGCATCCCATTTTACGATCACGAACGCCTGATCCGGAAAATTAGCTCGCGTGACCGGTAAACAAGCCGATCACGCTTGTACATACACTGTACTATCGGGAGAAGACATTAAATAATTTATTATATTATTTACATATTGTGCTGTGTCCGATAAATATCCATGTCGCGAATGCTGGCTCTTATTCCCCTTCTTAGATAGCACATAACGTCTTGAATACGTCTATTTTACGGTTATTTTAGGTCTGAGGAGCCTTTAAGCCGACTGTATGCTATCTAGGCCTCCTTGTAACCTTTTTGTTTTCTGAATCAATCGTGCAAAAAGCGTTGCACATTTCCGTGACTCGAGTAGTCTCAGTTGCGTAAGATAAAAGAAAAAAATAGTACAGATCACCGGTCTCGAGAACGCTAAGCAACGTGTCGGTATAAGCCTGAACATTTAGGTCGCGTTTCGCGGTAAGGAACATTCTCATTGCGTTGTAATCTCAGTTTACTCTACTTGGCCAAGGTGAACCAGCCGTGCAAGCACTTTGGCACCGGGCCAGGTGTGTCGAAGGTGGCCCTCGCGATTTCTCGGAGTGTCACGCCGTCCAGAATCAGCAGAGCCACCTGTGACTCGTTGTCTGACCATACCATGGCGCTCAGCACCACTCCGTCATCTTCATTCTGAAATGTCGAGAATTATTTTCATAGAATTACAGGCCAGAAAGTGGAAATGATTCAAGATTGTGGCGGGATTGATTGTCAAAGGGATCCTATCAGCTCTATAGATCTTCTGTGAAGTTAATAGATTTTGTCAAGAAATAGCTAACCATGATTAGTTATGCAAATTAACAAGATAAGGGCCTGTACCTTTCCATTGGGATCTGGAACGAAGATCGGCTCACTGGGATAGACATTTCTCTCGCACCATGTCTTCTTCGTCTTCTTCAAAATGTCTACTTTGATGAGCTGCAAAAAAAACCACATTTAACATTATTATTCAACTTACTAATCAAGAAACAAAGAAACCAGGTGATAAACAATGGAAGAAACAAGTAAAATTACAATTACCGTTCCAGGATTCTCCAAGTCTACATCGCTGGATATCGCGTAGAAGAATCGGTACTCTCTTCCAAGAAAATACTCATAATTGAGTCTCGGTGTCTCGCAACCGAGATCACAGAGTAACTCTGGCTTCACGAAGATTCTACCATCAGGAAGTCTGTGAGCAGCTGCCTTTCTGCGAAGAAGATTCCTGTAGTCATTCTTCTTGTCCTCATTGGTCCTTGCTGGAGTCTCCTTTATAGAACTTGTGCCTTCTTCATTGAACGATTCGTCAGTGTTTTGGAAAGACTCCAGGCCCTGGTTCACCGTCTTCGCCGTGATCAAATTGTACTCCAACGGGACATCTGCCTGCGGACGTTTCATTGGCAGCACGAAACGAAGAGGTCTGCCACGGAACAACTTGGCATAGTCTGGATTCTCACTTGCGTTCTGCGAACATGAAACTGTTATGAACTCGAAGAAGACATGGACTGACAAAAACAGAAGACGGCTTAAAGGCGTCTTTGACCTAAAATAGCCGTAAAATGGGCGTCTTTAAGGCGTCATGTGCTATCTGGGCTGGTCAACTTTGAAACCATCATGCTTTTAAGCTATTCCTATCTTCTTCTGAATTCCTCGAGTACCTTCATTGCATCGACGAACATGCAATCCAACATCTGGGCGTCACGGTAGCAACAAACATCCAGGACAACGTAATCACGGTCACGTGTCTCGAATTGGTTGATAATATGAAGATAGAAAAATGGTTCGCTGGTGAAGGTCCTCTCCAACTGTCCCGTGTCCCTTGAGATTAGGTGTATCAGGGTCTGAATAAATTAAAGAAAATCGATTACCATAATAGGGGTGATCATGAAGCTATGCAGACTGTAGCCAGGTGGATGTGACTCACGTTTTCATTTTCATGCCACTTCAAAGCCGCGCACATTGGTTGCTGGGTCACTTTGCAAGACATCAGAGTGGTGAAGGAGACTGCCAGGGGTTGTTCAATGATCACAAAGTAGTTTTCGGTGATACCAAAGGTGTGCATGTAGGAGGGATTCAGAAGCCACCTGGATGGAACACTGGCAACGATGCTGGCCTGGTCGAACATGGACAGTTCCTTTTCTTCCCCTGCATCATCTGAAAAGGAAGTGATTCACACCTTCAGAGCCTTGTTTTTAGGCTGTACTAATTTCAACGCCAGTTGCAGGATTTGGAACTGAACAGACCCAGCGAAGATGGGTCTTGTTTAGTCATGGAACGGTTGATGGGAAATATGTTACACTAAAAAGGACTGAAGTGTCCAATTGGGGTAGTCCAGAGGTTTTAAGTGGATACAAATTACTTATTGATAAAAAATTAAATTGAACCATTGGAAGGACTGCTAACCAATAATCAGTTGACTGGGTGAGAAACAGACAACGTTGTAAAAGGGTCCACGTGGCGTTACGCTCGTCCCCAAATTGTAAATAGTCCCATCGTTCATCACATGGGGATGGGACGTGTGGTTGACGATGCCAACGTAGTCCGATACGTTCACCTGGACAGAAAAGGAAAGAATTCTGTTAGTACAGTTGCAATAATAAATGCACATTAATCGTCTCTGATATGACATCACCATAATACACGAAAATTCCAAAAACTACATACCACATCACTTGTCCAAACATCTATGAACATTATGAAATGAGTCAGTCACACAAGTTCTTATCAGATGATAGATAGACTAGGGCAAGGAAATTCTCCATGAAGCCCAAATGAATACACAAAGATTAATTCGTTCAAAACCTCCTCTATGTCTAGATTGTATTAACTACCATTAATATCCACCTCCAGATCGAGAATATACTCCAAGACGTCCAAATCATCACTGTCATTCATTTCAAGGTTTTCATCAAACACCCCATCGGAACTACGACGCATGAAACCAGCGACCAAAATATTGGAATGAATGATAAATCATTTGAAATTATTCAAAAAGTTGAATCCAACATGAATAAACACCTTTCCAGTTGTTTCCAAGGTCTCCGGGTCGACACGATGGATCATCGCCGTCTCAGCAAACGTATAATATTCATCCCCAAACGGATAGACGGATATCATCGAATTATCGGAAGCATCGCCAGGCTTGAACACCGCTGCGATCCTGAAGAGAAATCGGTTCTATGGGTTTCAGAACATTGTAATCGATAGTTTAAGGCCCCTTTTGCCTTTAACGGCACGAAAAGAAGGTGGTACAGTAATTCCTCGACGAGTGTTCGAAGGCTCCTCGACACTGAACATTAAATATTTCATAAACTAATGACCATATGCGACTGAAACAAATATCATTGACTTCGGAATTCCACGCTCTATTACTCTGCCAAGTCTCATTAAAAAGTTCCTTCGAACACTCATCGCCAATTTGCTGTATTAAATAAAAATATAAGTGTCATTATTTTCTTCCGGCCGTTAAAGTGGAAAGGCGGCATAAGTACAGTCTGTACCTTTGGAAGATACTCTGGCAGGGATCTGGCACAGCCTTCGTGCCGAATTCGGTCACGACTATTCTCTGGGCCGCTTTGTTCTTCTTGTACACGTCGGTCTGAACGAACCTGCACTGATACGTCACCTTTCCGTCAGCAATATTGAATCTATCGGACAGATAAAGACAGTAATCAGATATCCTGATACTTATGAACTGGCAAGTGTACAAGGAAGACTGAAAGTGTGTGTGTGTCCTTTGGAAGATAATCCTCGTGTAGCGATTAGTAGCGATGAGGCTTCCGGGTGATCGATACCACATATTGATACCAATGTTTCGTCAGCCACGGTAATTTCTTTAACATCTTCACCAAGCAATACATTCCCGGTTGCTGCACACTTTGGCTGTCACAGTAAGGACCCAACTTGGTCTGTTTGCCTTTTGAAGGATTTTTAATACCGATGGAATAATTGCGTGGATGTCTGACGACAGACGTACCGATGCAGCAAGGCGGAACTGTCGAACAGATGGTTGAAGCTGTACTCCCCGACCTTCAGGCTGCCCGGCCCGTTTCTCAGCAAGGTGCCCTTCAACCAAGACGGAATGGTCCCGGTGATCTTGCCAGGAATAGGATCTCGCACCTCTTTCTCGCAGGATCTCATCCAGACGGATGTGTCCACGTTTGGATAGTAATCCTTGGTCCCCTCTTTTGGCCCATTTTCTAGGGTAGTCAGGGGATCCTTGGCATCAGTCAACTGTCAGATAGAATCACGTTAATCGTACCTAAAAATGTGTATTGAGGTTCTGGGGATTTCAATGTTATCAAAATGTTTCGATCGTGGATTCCTTAGGGAATTGACGATGGACTGATACCAGCTTATCCAAGAGAACGTAGAAGCCTCGTCAACGAACAACACTGGCATTGTAGGTAGATTCCCAGCAGTTGTAACTAGTACTATATAATCGTACCAGGATGATATTAAGCTATGGAAATTCTGGGTTCTACTGATCGTCCTTAAAGTACTGATAAAACTACTACTGAAGTTAGGTATTGGAGGTTCAAGCATCATTAACAGGGCGATCAATCGTAGTTTACATTTGGATGGTCCAGTTGATCCCTGAATTTCTGATGAATCAACTACAGGATACTCAGGGTCTTTACCAAAAGGACAAGACTTGGAATCTCCACACCCTATTACTAGGAAAAACGATAGGTATCTATGGTCAACATAGAGCCGAACTAACAAAAATTAACAAAAACTGTGAAACGGGCGCAAATAGAGTGAATTATAGAATCGTAGTACTGATCAGAAGATCCGACTTTCATTCGCTACCAAAATGGTGGGCCAAATAGCATCCAAATAGCGTCACAGATCCAACGTATGGGGCAACTCACGCGAAAGCAGGTCTTGGACAACTTCATCCGTTTCCCATGCTGCAACAAATCATCGAGTTCGTTCAATTTCACCGTCGAAAAGTCACTGGTAGACCTGGATCTACAACACTTGATCGATTTCATGATGTCCACACGAAGATGCTAAGAACACACTGGTCCCTGATCAAATCTCTTCTCGGTCAATTCCTCTCCCCACACAGCCGACATTACGTTTCATCCTCGACGTTCTCGTCGACCGATTCCTCGACCAACGGATCCAGGATCGACGACAGTATGCAGTAGACTCGCTTGTGGGTGAAATCCATTGTTCCCCTTGGGGCTTCGACCAACGAATGACATTGCTCCGATAATCTGCTGACCTTAAAATGTGGCTTGATCGTGATCCGATTAACGGCACCGGTTGCTCGAAGCCCCGTCGCCCCCTCCACCCCCAGTCACGTGCATTTTCCGCCCTTTTACCCCGTGGTCGTGACACGTGGTTTAATTGACACGTTCTGGTTCGTTCGATCCAGTTGCCCATGTAAGTCTCGACAGTGATCACAGATAACAAATTTGAACGATCGTTGCAGACATTTTTTATAGTTAATTTCATTATTAAACTATCATTTTTACCACCCCTGTGGAAGTATCCATATCTATATTACCGACTACTTGAAGAGTAGACTTGATTCTACATTACCGACCGCGTAACGAGTTTGATTGTAGTTCGACGAACGTCCGCCAGAGTGCAGCTGAATTTCCGTGTAAAGGATTTCCGGTTACTCGCCGAAGATCAGTACACAAAGAATGTCGACAAGGGGAATGATACATGGAAAACAAGCTGTCTGATGAAATATTCATGAACAGAGAACTAGCTGACTGAAAATAGACTTTTCTTTCGAGTGTTTTACAGTAGCTAGTTTGGCAATCGTTCAAGAATGACAACTGCCTATAGGTAAGTGAAGTGTACAAGACTCGAATAATTCTTGCCGCTGTTAGGTATTTGTTTTATGGGCTTCACAACACGAATCATTGACGTATAACACACTGTTATAATAATGCTTGCCCCTTTCGAATGTCTCTTGGACCCAGCGGTAAGAATTAATTAGGCAGTACGCACACAGAATTCATCAACTGATTCTTGCTGCCAGTGGATTTATTTAAATGTGTCTACCTTAATAATGAAACCTTTCTTTCCATTTCAGCCTATACAGGATGGCCCAACATACTGACATGAAGCTTACCAAAACGGCCCACAATCGAATTCAAACGGTATCAAAGGTAAGTTCACTAGAATCCTTGGAATTTAAGCGATTTAACGGTAAAGAAGGGAATTTTGTCGATGGTTCGTCAGAACGTTCAGAAATCTCTGTTACCGGAAACAAAATGGCGACGCTATCCTCCAGGACGTCAGGTTTGTCCGTGTTGTTTCTGGTCTCCGCCATTTTCGTGCCACTCGGAAAATCCATTTCGCGAAAAACTAGCCTGATTGCCCGAATTCGCGACGGAACTGCAAATTAACGTTGGCCAACAGCCAGAAATTATTCGCGGATACCTCAAGACCGCCAACTGTCACGCGAACCACCAATGAAAACCGAAAAACTGATTTTTCGGCACCCTAATCCAGCCTTTTTATTGCCCAGTTAATTTCCGATTATTTCTCCCACCTTCGTGCATTTCCGTCCAGGTTAAAAAAGAAAGTAAAATGCAGTGTCATTGGTCTGAGTCACGCTTTTGTTATAGGGATGATTGATCGAACGAAAAATTCCAATGCATTTCGAATTTCGTTATGTTTGTCCAAGTTATACATTCTTTGACCCATTTTTTTTCTTTACCAAAATAATAATACCAGCGTCACCGAAGCCGGTCATTTTCAAGTGTTCTCGCCTTGTGTACACACGAGAATACCAATCGATTCAGTGCCCACGTCTTCGGATAAGCCTCATAAATATTAATGGGATACTCGACATATGTAGTGCTTTAGATGCTGCATACGCAACGTGCGAAAAATTCGATTAACATTCGCTCGAACAGTTAATTAATTTCCATAAACAGACCTTCCGCGAGAATCACGTGATCCAGACGCGATTTTCCAAAGACAGAGACGTTGCAGAGAAAACTTTATCATGTCCCGATTCGAATTCTATAATAACCAGAATAACCTATAATAATCACTGTACACCTACTGTTCCGATATATGATCCAATTGTTTTCCTAAAATTTCAATTATTTCACAAAATAAACTATTAATTTCGGAACACCCTGTGTAACATCGGGGAAAATAGAAATAGTCACACGCTTGTTTTCTACGTGTGGCCTATTGCACGGGCCGACGGATAGCAGCGGCTCGAACGTTCCGCGTGATGCATCGCCCCATCGGCTCGCATAAGTTTGCTGCTTGCATCGGCTGCACACGACAGATATACGTGCAGTTTTATGCCAAACGTTGCGGCACACATGCACGGACCACGTGACGGTCACGTGCTCCGCCGAGGCGAGAGGTGCGCGTCTCGGGAGCCACATAGAGCAGCTGGAAACCGTGTTAACCGTGGGTATGATTGCTTAGAAAGCGGATTGCAAGCAGACAGATCTGGGAAAATTTGTTTTGAAATGAAAATAAGAATACTGAATTATTTTGTTGTTTTCGTATTTCAAACGAAATAATACTCAAAATAATGTGCAACAAAAAGATTTTATTTTGAGAAATCTTTACACGAATTTGCTTTAAGAAGAACTCGCTCTTGAGAAAGCTTATTCGTGAGAGGTTTTTTCTTCGGCCCATTTAATAAAATCAGTTGGAGTTCAGTTCCGAAAAAATTCATAACACAGTTAGTTATAGTTATAAATAATTAGATGTAAATAAACAAGGAAAAAAGGGACTTCACTATTTTTTCTTTTTTTAATAAACGGACCATTTATGGAGACATCGTCTCGACTATTCTTGTGATTTTTGTAATTTTCGATATTATTATTCTCTATTTATTTCGTTCAAGAATAATATCAAACGTTCAGTTTGTCGACGATAATCCATTAAACATATGGTTCTACCTAGCAGAGGCGTTAATAGTACACGTAGATAGACACGAATGATGTCAATGCATACTAATAAAAAAATACAGAACAGATTATGAAACAAAACGAATGGTTAAGCGTACAAAGCAGAATAGCTAGTTTTATGATAATACATTTCACACCTCTGTCATAACATGCAGACGGTGTAGGCGTCTGGTGTTTGTTTGGATGTGGATCAACAAGAACAAAACATGTGTCAAACAGATCGTAGATTGCACGTGTTTTCATGAATCATATATACAGCATTCGAAGACGTTATTATTAGGTTATGTTGCGTGATATATGCAAGTAGAACAAGACAATAGTCAAATAGGAAGTAAAGAAATTTATATCACAAATGGCTTGAAAATATTGGTTATTATTTAAACAATTGATAGATAATAAGTCTGACTTATATTCCATTTATGTCTGATTATGTGTGTCTTAAACTACTTGAATTCTCCTAAATTCACAAGGAGCTTTATGATCAGCATTGAAAGTCAATTAGCAGGTGAATTATAATTAACTACGAAAGTAAATGATTTAATTATTTTATGAACTGATGTTGGTATGTGTCTGATCTAGGACACCCTATTCCACTTCACGTAAATACAATTTCCTTTGATAATTAAGCAATAGTATAAACCATAAACATTAATTCCATGGAAAAAGTGTTATTATAACTCCAATAATTCGAAAATATAAAACTTGCAATCCTTCATTTTAACGGGTTTGGTAGTTCTAGTGTTACCATACGTAGCCATTTGGCAACAGTGGGAATGAAAGGGTTAACTAGATTCCGCGAAGTAATCACGAACCTCCATCATCACCCCCTGATTCACATCTCAATCCCGATCATCTCCATCCAATTTCCCACCAGAAACATCATCCAGTCGACTTGACGGATCGAACGAACCGTTCCCATTTCCTGCTCTCCGCCCCCTTTCTCGCCCCTTACGGCTGCAACCACACACGCTTCCTGTCGAATCCGTTGCGCCGACAGCCAATCGACACGCCTCGCCGTTGCAAGCATGTTCGTGTGGGTCAAGGTCGCGATAATGGCGGTATCGACGTTACCCCCCACTTCCCGATTCGTTTGGCCACTTACCTACCTCACTTTCAGGGAACCAACAAGTGGCACGCGCCAGGCACGATATTGGTATTCGACGCGGCGATCCGTTACGGACACGCAGTGACGTCGAGCAAGTAGAAAAGATTAAGGACACGAATGAGATTTTAGGTGTACCACGATGTACATTCACGTCTATAAATATTAGGACACTTATCCAATAGGTAATTCCAAGCGAAATCGGATACTTTTTGGGGCACCATTTCGGATTTTGTTCAAATCGGGATATGTTCGTAGTCTTTAGCGATATATAAACGTATCTTTTAAATAAATGCCCTGCTTTCATACCGAGGAACTATTTAAACATTTGATAAAATATAAAGCAATTAAAAGTAATACAAAATATATCATTATCATGGAATATCACATTTTGTGTATATATTTTTATTTAAAAAAAAAAAAAATCGGAATTTTCGAAGTTACTGAAGATCCCTTCCTAGTTGGTTAAAACAAACCCGCGTTGGACTACAGGTTTAGAAACTCTGGATTGTCATTGAAAAAATAAAACTTCGGAATATGCATGCACTGACGCAAATAGAGCCTATCAGACATTGATCATGTTAGACAACGTGGAACCACTCGTGCACGCGATCCTTCTAATTATTCCGAGCGACGCTCACCAACGAAGGCCGGTTAACGTTGGATTGTCAAGTAAAGAACAGCCGGTTCCGTGGAAAACAAGGATCGCTCGCCATCTGCCGCGATGCCGAAAATAATCCGTTTCCGAGTATCCTCACAGAGGACGAATTCACCGATCGCCTGTCAATCTCATTTGATATCTAAACTCTTAAATTTATTTCTTTTATTACTGCCCTTCTATGACCCTGAAGACCATAATATACTACATAGTTTGACTCGCTTTACTACTCGCTTTCATATGATGTAAAAAAATATGTAGCATTCCATTTAAAAGACTTAAGGTCACCGTTGTTTCCAGAAAAATATTAAAAATACAAAAACTTTAGATACGCTTTCATATTACTAGTAAAATATACTACGACTTCCTCCTCTTCGGTTTTCTTCTAATGTTTACCGTTTACGAAAAAAAAACGATGGTAGAAATTATCCCGAACACCCTGTATACATACATAATCGACTTATACCACTAATGCTTTCAACAGCTCATGTATCATAGAATTAAATTCGGCAGAAAGTATATATTGAACAAACGTCGCTCGGTGTCGTCTACCGAGAAATCTAATTAATTCCTCTGTCGGTGTGAAACAATCCTCTTTTTTTCGCGCGGCCGCCACAAACGTCATGTGACGTTCTAATCTACTTCCACGTGCACGTTCGCACGGAGGGAGATCATGTGAGCTACCAGAGTGAGTCATCGGGCCGCCTGGCCATCAAAAGACATTAATCAGAGAGATCGCTTTCCTTGTTGCACTGGAATTTATGAGCTCGTGTACGATCGTTCGGTCTCATGCAAATTGTGGATTACAGTGTTCAATTGTACAGCGATTAATCGTACGGTGCCCGATAGATCGGTGGTCATTGCACCGAGGAATCTTGGTAGATTCTTGTTGACTGATCTGTAAAAGAAGATGGCATCACGGGGAAGGGTATACAGTAAACCCTTGATGAGTGTTCGAAGACTTCTCGACACTGACAAGGAAAAATACCCAGGTGTAACGGTGACTTTTTAATGACGTTTAGCACAGTGATAGAGCTTGGAATTCGGAAGCCAATGATATTTGTTTCAGTCCCATATGGACACTATTTTATGATATATTTCATGTTCAGTGTCGAGAGAATTTCGAACACTCATTGAGGATTTACTGTAGATTGAAATTCTGGAATAAGAACAGAAGGTCGAAATTCTTGAAGACAGATTTGTGAAAGGAGGAGTTAGAGATTAAATAGTAAAGTAGAAGAACTGGGAATCTGTGTGGAAGGAATAGGTGTGAATAAATAGGGAATAAATAGAAAATAGATAGGAGAAATAATTGAACTAAACAAAAGAGAATTAAATACCGAAATTTATTTATTAAATCACCTTTCACGATATATAGATGTTTCCTATATAAATAGGTGTGAAAGAAACATAAGCTTCGTTGAACCTCACGAGAAATATCACTTTATTGCATTACACAGACTTCCATTCATAACCTACGATCGATGTCACTTAATAGTGAACGTAATCGAATCACTTACGAATAAACGAATCCACGGTCCAGTGATCTAGAGAAAGAAACATAAAACTCTTGAGCGTCAGATCAAGGACGAGGTGAATCCAATGAGAATCGATTAACGAAACACACGATACGGAAAGAGCAGCGATCCACAATCCAAGTCTAAAGTCACTTCGAGAGGGGAACTTATCGGTATCGATAATCGTTGGAGTATCAAGGCTACGTGAATATCGTTTCTCACGAGGATCGACGACAGATTTTAGATGAATCGCGTGTCCTCCGCTAATCACGTTAATGTAATCAACATG